AAGGAGCTTCTCCTCCAGGGCAAACATGGCCCACCTACCATCTCTCTGAGGAGCTTCTCCTCCAGCTGAGAGTCTTGGAGACTTTGAACAAACTGCTGAGCGGGTGTGCTGGCGATGGCTCGGAGTTTGGCGATGTTCTGGCTCTGCTGGGCGATGTCCGTCAGGCCGATGGTGAAGAACTTGATGCCGTAGCCTTTGGCCTCGGCGGCGGCCGCCAGTACGTCGGGGTTGCGCGGGTGGTCCACCCCGTCGGTCATCAGCACGGCTATGCGGACGCTGTCCTTGGGCGTCTCCTTCACCAGCAGCTGCGTGGCGTTGGTGATGGCGTAGGTGGTGTAGGTGCCGTGGCCGATGAAGTTCATGGTGCTGACCTTGCTGTGGAAGGAATCCAGGTCCGTCCAGTCGGAGAACCGGTGCTCCACCGACACGAAGCTGCTGAACTGCAGCGCGGCCATCCGCACCCTCAGCGCCCAGTCCACCTGAGGCACGGAGCCCACCTGCAGCATGGAGAGCCGGGTGCTGAAGCTCAGGACGAACGCCTTCTGCTGCTGGAACAGGACCAGTTTGGCACTCTCAGAGCTGTCCAGGATGAACACCACCTCCAGGGAGCACGTGAGCCCTGCTGGACAGAGAAACGCCAAGTCAGGAAGTCCTACCAAGTCCTACCAACTCCCAGGTGGATGACAATGGGATTTCTGATTGAAAATGTAAAGACCACTTGTCTTTTTGCCATTTTTAAAAGTGTTTTACCATTCTTTATAAAGCCCTTAGGACCAGAGCAGAGATAGTGTGTTATTGGTTAGAAGCTAATGAAGACAAACAAGCTAAGACTGAGATCTGGTTCCAGCTCTCATCGTAATCCAGTGGTTTTGAACGGGAAAGCTCTTCTCAGCTCTTTCATGTCTGCAGGAAGTTGGTGCATATCCGTTCATTTGAGTCAGGTGTGCTTGAGGTGGGAAACTTAGGAGACATGCAGGACGCTGTGAGAAACTCTTATCCTAACCCAGCACAGGAGTTTCAGTTGGGTTCCAAAAGCATCTCCAAAAAGGGTCACAGGACAGTAAATTAGGAGTTATTTAGGTTTATTTATACAGAACATTGTTGTGTTTTTCTTTCTTAAGGCTGGTGTGGCCCAAACCCCAAATCCACAACTTAAAATTTACCATCTTTTTTTAAAGATCATTAATACAAGAACTTGTTACTCCAAGATTGGACCGCAGCCTCCAGCCGATCCAAAATGCTGCAGAGCCCCATCTGGATATTTTCCAGCTGTGAGCTCTTTGCTCTTAGACTGCTGGTCTACTTTTGGTTCCTGAGTTCCTAATAGCAGAATTGGAGGATGAGCCTTCATTCCCCTTCCCGTGGAACCAGTTCAGATTCAGAATCATGACCCCACCCCCTCTACCTTTAACACAAGATTCAAACTTTCCTTTTTTGATAAAGCTGATAGTTAGGCATGGCTCAAGGGGGATGGACCTTTCCAAGCTTCAGCACACCTGATTCATGTGCACCATCAGATTTTCAATGGATTCATTTAATCAGAATCAGCTCCTTCTTCCAGAGCCATATTTCCCCGGCAATGTTTAAAACTACATTTCAGAGCCTTTAAAACAGGAGCTCCCCCTCTGCAAAAATCTTAAAATGCAGCTTTTATGTCTTTATGGATTCCTTTTTCTTTGTTTTCATGATTCTTGTATGTCGTTGTGAAACACTTTGTCATTTTTGTCTTTAAAGGTGCTATTTTTCATCATTCACAGCGTGTGCCATGTTTTTCTTTTTTTTTAAATGGTTTCCAGTCTGTTTCCTTGAGCTTTTTGATTATTTCATTTGTATTTATATGTACAACTGTGCTTTTTCTTTTGAGTTTCTATCCTTTTCCACCTTTAAGTTTCTGCTCCTTGCCATTTTCACCCTCTGTTTTTGCACGCTGATCATCAGCTCGACCCTTCCCAGCTGTGCTCCCTCCGCTGGTTAAACTCACTGATCCCTTCCCCGTTAGTTAAGCTCCCCGCTCTCAGTCCTTCTCTACCTGTCGTTTGTCGTCTGTGCATTCCACAAAGCTTCGGCCTTTTCTGTGGCCCCTGCAGCTGTCTCCAGTTTGTCGTATTTAGCTATTTCTCCTGTCGTTTTTTGTTCATCGGGTAAAAGTGTTGGAAGGAGAAACTAGGGACAAAGTTAAGGATGTGACAGCGTCAGATTTTTTTTATCACCTGGTGACATTTTCATGTTAAACCCCGGGGCTCGCTGATGTTTGTTTGTGGGGAGGGGAGGCAGAGCTCCGTAATCTGACCCAAATGAAACGACACAAAACCATTATGCTGAATGTGTCAGAAGAAACGCTGCATCTAATTCCATTATCTCTGCTTGGACAGGAGTATCCCACTGAGGTGTGAGGCTATCTTCCTCCAGGGCAGGGGAGTCCAAAGTGGGTCCTGGAGGGCCGCTGTCCTGCAGGTTTATGAAGTTCCCCTGGAACTTCACCGTTTTTTTTGTGAAACGGATCACTTCAAAAGCCCTGCACGAGCCTGATAATGGCATGGAAACTTCTAAAACCTGCAGGACAGCAGCCCTCCAGGACCGACTCTGGACCAGGGACCTGGAGGGAATCCTAGAGCTCAGACAGAAGTTTGTGATGAATGAATATAGGTGGATTATGGGAGGAATGTGGGTGGACAGAGGAGGGGGGGGCGGGAGTTCCTTGGGTCCTGGCATTCATGTAAAGGTTTGACTCACACAAACAATTCTGCATGCAACATGCAAAAGGTCACAGCGACAGTCAGGTGACTTTCATCTGGGAAATTGTTCACATTTGTTGTAACAGAACAGACAAAGACTTCAAAGCGTTGAGGTCCCCGGTTCTGAAACATCTGAGGGATGTCCTGGAAAAACCAGTCTAATCCACGGAGGCCCCGACTTACAGGACACAAAGGATTTGCTCCAAATGTCTTGTTGCCTTGATACAATGAGACTGAATTATCTGCGTGGTTTAAAAGGTTCAACTTGAAAACACAAAAAAATGAGCTTAATGTTTTTCAGTTAGATTGCCGGAGTAAAAAAAACATATTTTTCAAAAATTGCAATAACTTTGATCAAGGGGATTAAAAAATTGATCTGCCTGAATTATTACAGGCAGATCAATTCTTGTTTAATTGTATGAATCCCATCATGGAGTTTGTCAAACTCAGGTTTCCAGGGACCAGCCCTTACCGCCATGTGGGTACTTCTCATAAGTAAGACCATTCCCTCCATCGTCCCGCAGTCTGTAGTTCTTGCGTGAAGCCTTTTTCCTCTGGCTGGTGGCTTGGGGCAGGAGAGCCAGCAGCAGTAGGAAGAACCCGAGTCTTCTGCTCAGGTTTCTCCTCAGCAACAATGCCATCCTACCAGCAGCAGTTAAATCAGATTAAACGCTTTAAACTGTGTCAAACTAAATGCAAAAGACTATTTCACAACAGTTCTTGGAGCAAACTTTAACAGAAAGCGTGGGTCTGCAAAAGTGACAATTCCACCTTTATAAACTGAATAAAACAATTAGAATGAATGAATAACCTGATAAATCAGCATAAAATCTGACACATTTCAAAGGCTGCACATTTACCTTATAATAAATCCCACCACTACCCGTCATTAAAGATGAAACAGTAATTCAAGATGCAGCATTTTGAGCAGATAAATGACAACCGGAGTGCTGACAGGGGACGAACCTGCAAAAAAGACTGGAAAATCCCACGGAAGCTGACGTTTTACCTCATCGAGCTTCGCGTCCTTTCAGCTGGGGCTCTTTGGGAGGCATTTCGCAGCAGCCACCGGGTCGTGTCTCTATAAACCTGAGTGAGATGAACTCAGAGCCATCGGATGAGCTGATGCGCTCCGGCACGGCGCCAAGGTGTCAGTTTTTTGACGAGCCAGAGTAAGTCCGGCTGGGCCTTGTTTCTACAGAGAAGCCGCGCACAACGGGGCGGCAACAATTATTGGACTTATCAGAATATAAAGAGGGGAAAAAATTGTCTCTGGGCTTTGCTGTGGAGTTGGACTTCCACTCTTCCAATTTAACAACTTAAAACGTGTGTAGATGCGTGCGCACCAGTCAGAGAGACCATTATCTCTTAATTTATCTGAAGTGTACGCGCTCAAAGGTTGAATAAAGCATGCAGGAATTCTTATTTTTTATCCTTTTTATATCTGCGTGGTCGTACACAAGTTTCCACCTTAATTTTAACGGGTCTAAGGGGGCACCAAACCAGGGCCAGAGTGTGCGCTTATTTCAGGACCAGCCCACTCTCATTCAGTGTGGAAGAATCAACATACATGATATTTTGTGCAGTAACAGTTTATGCAAATATAATATTCTCTAATTATCTGTTTACACGATGGATTTCTTCATTAGTCCACATATACATTAAAATATTGGGGGTACGTCCAATGCGTAATAATGATTTAACACTTTAGAAACTAATAAGACAGAAAAGTATTACTTCACAATACGAAATAATTCATTCAAAGCAGGCTATTCTCATATTTAAATGATAAACTTCTGCTACTCTTTGAATCTACCGTTTCAGTTCCATATCAGCTTGGATGGTGGGAAATGTTAATAAAGTTAGAAAGTTCGAGTTGATAATCTGCAAAGAAAAAAATTAATTGAATATCAAGATGTCTGTTTTCCTGGCTTAATTTGTTTTCTGTGTTCTGTTGTCGTCGGGATCCTCAGTAACAGTCTGAAGAGACTCCCATATGTCCAGCTCTCTGCAGCTGGGACCCTGAGAGGAGTGGGAAAATATGAACTCCAACTTGTCTCACTTCACAAACTTCCCATCTCCACCAGGTGAAATAGAAAATCTACCTCCAGACAAAGCATTGCATTGTGGAAAAGCGCCCCCTACCTCACACAATAGTAACCTCACAAACCAAATCATTTCCCCTCCACTCGAACCAGATTAGTCCCCAGAACCTCATCTGGGAATGTACATAAAGGTTAAAAAAAAGACTAAAAACAATTATCTTAGTTCATTTTATTAAAATATTTTATAGCTGGACGCTATTTTAACATATGTTGTTCATTCTTCGTAAAATTCTACAAGCCTATTGAAATGTTAATAATGTAAAGTGAGGTACAAATTAAATCTATTATTATTTTCATCATATCATCAATGAATATGGATTTTCAGGGAATAACATTTTGGTTTATGTGAATTTGGGCTTTGTCATTCCTGCAGCTATACAGCCAAAAGTTCATTAGAATGTAAGAATCACTGGGTTTTTTCCTTTAATTAACATTTTCAGGCTTTATCTGAAAGGCGTTTCAGTTGTTCACAGGCCAAATGTTATGAACTTATAAATTATAATCAGACATTACATATACATTTCACATAGCACAGAACTAAGTTATTAAGCATAACCAAGTCCATTTATGATTTGATCATCATCATGTGTGACTGAAGTTACCAAACTATATGCAAAACATAATAAATTGACCTCATCAAGTATTAGAATTAGACCTGTAGGCCAAACAATCAAAAGTCCGTGTTTGCTGCGCCCTCCAGTGGTGAACTAATTTACGACTAACAAGACGGAACGGAAAGTAAGGGAAACTTTTGCAAGTACGAACATGTTTTGGTGTAACACACAACAACCGTGTGGGGCTCCGAGTTCTCCTTATGCGACATGTGTATGTCAAAACGTTATCCAGATGCCCGTTTAAACCAACCGTGTGTAAGTAAAATCTCACAGTTAAATTCGCTATATGGAATCAAATGTTTTCGGTTTTTGGGTGGGTTATTGAGGGATTAACGCTCTTAGCTCACTTTGCACATGTTAGCGTTAGCACAGTCAAGCTAGCATGTCAACAAACTTTGAACTTTGCTTTAGCTCGTTAGTAAAAAGGCAATGTAGCACATTTTTCTAACATTTTTATACTCTTAGTTCCTTTACATCGTACTAGTGTGATAATGACCAGCTAATTGGCACCTCGGAGGTAACCTCTTATTTTTAAGGTAGTCGCAGAAATGCTCAGATTTACATGGATAGATCAGCTTATTTGCACAAAGACTGTAACGTACTGGTGAGTTTCCGCTGCTGCAGTGGGCTGCGGTCAGTAATAAAGTCTTGGACATAACGGTGAGTATAGATTTTAGTATATCTTTAGAGGCACATTGGGATGAACCAATTGTCATTTAAAGGCCACAGTTGTACACCTTCATTATATCCTACAATTTAATGTATGGAATTGTAGTCAATAATATTCTTATTTGGCTGGATTTTCTAATATTCTTTAGGTATAAAGAGTGCTCATATTTGTGTTGATTGTACAGTTTGTCTTTTGTTCAGTAGCTTTGTTTATTCTGATATTTCTGATGTACGCAGTCGGCTTGTTTTGGGTCTGCTTCAGCCAGGTCGTGTTTTATTTCCAGACTTCCTCGAAACCCTTCTAGCCGCGTCCAAAACATGAGTGGGTCTAAGCCGGACATCCTGTGGTCTCCTCACCACCCGGACCGCTACGTCATCTGCGATTCGGAGCTGGGACTGTACAGCATCGGCCCGGTGGGCAGCGCGGAGGCCAAGCCGGGCACCCTGTCGCTGTCCGAGGAGACCGCCGCCACTTTGCTGGCCATCAACTCCGACACGCCGTACATGAAATGCGTGGCCTGGTACCCGAAGCACGAGCCCGAGTGTTTGCTGGCCGTGGGCCAGGCCAACGGCAGGGTGGTGCTCACCAGCCTGGGCCAGAGCCACAACTCCGCCTGCAAAGAGCTGGTGGGGAAAGAGTTCGTCCCCAAACACGCTCGCCAGTGCAACACGTTGGCCTGGAACCCGGTGGACAGCAACCTGCTGGCCGCCGGTCTGGACAAGCACCGGGCGGATTTCTCTGTCCTCATATGGGACATCAGCAGTAAGTTTGCCCCGGAGAGCGGCGTGGCCGCGGAGAAAATCCGCATGTCGTCCGTGGACCTGGACTCCGGCAGCATAGTGACCAAGCCGCTGTACGAGCTGGGCCAGAACGACGCCTGCCTGTCCCTGTGCTGGCTGCTGCGGGACCCCAAGCTGCTGCTGGCGGGGATGCACCGCAACCTGGCCATTTTCGACCTGAGGAACACCAGCCAGAAGACCTTCGTCAACACCAAGGCCATCCAGGGCGTGGCGGTGGACCCGCACTTCCACGACCGCGTGGCCTCTTTCTTCGAGGGCCAGGTGGCCATCTGGGACCTGAGGAAGTTCGAGAAGCCGGTGCTCACGCTCACAGAGCAGCCCAAGCCGCTCACCAAGGTACGCCGCTGTTTCCTTCCCCCCCTTTTTCCCCCCGCAGACGCTCGGTTGATTGTAGTGTTTTTCCCCCCTCCCGTTTTGCCAGGTGGCGTGGTGCCCGACCCGCACCGGGCTGCTGGCCACGCTGACCCGCGACAGCAACATCATCCGCCTGTACGACATGCAGCACGCCCCCACGCCCATCGGGGACGAGACGGAGCCCACCATCATCGAGCGGAGCGTGCAGCCCTGCGAGAGCCAGATCGGCAGCTTCGCCTGGCACCCCTCCTCCCAGAACCGCATGGTGGTGGTGTCGGCCGCCAACCGCGTCATGACCGACTTCACCGTGTTCGAGCGCATCTCGCTGGCCTGGAGCTCCACCACCTCGCTCATGTGGGCCTGCGGGAGGCACCTGTACGAGTGCGCCGAGGACTCGGCCGCGGGGGCGGAGGGCGCCGCCGAGAAAGACGTGGCCACCAAGATGCGGCAGAGGGCCCAGTCCAGGTACGGCCACGACACCGTCCAGGTCTGGAGGAACCACCTGCTGGCGGGGGGGAGCGACCCCGAGCTCAAGTCTCTCTGGTGTGACCTGTTCTATATCCTTTACCAGCCCGACGTTTTCTGTTTTTGTATTTTGAACAATCGTCCAATTATTTGGAACATTGAATTCTGTTCATGTGTTGGTAGAAACTCCTGGAATGTTTTGTCTAACTAAATCTTGATTTCTCTAATCATCATTTCCTCATAATGAGGACTTTACAGGTATGTAACACCATGTAATACCAGAACCCAAAGTCCTGTTTCAGCTCTCTTAACCCCTCTTTGCGTTGCCTTTAGAGGCACTTTTTGTATTAGTAAAAGATAAATTAGCTGAATTTTGTGATCCAGTTTGAGGTTTACTTTCTGCAATTTTTTCATTTTTTTTCTGGTGTTTTGTGGTCAAAATCAAAGTGTTGACATCTTGCTGTGCAGCTTGAGTTTGAAATGTTATCATAATTCCGTCTTTTGTGATAAATGAGTTTTTGCACCGCACACTCGGTTACTGTTCCTATGAAAGTATCACATATGAAGCAGTGTTCAGAGGACATGGAGCTCAAACTGCAGGGAAACAAACATTCTCTGGTTTATTCTGGCATCAAGAACATCATCAAGACCAGCTCAGGTAAGAAAAAGCCCAGCTAAAATCCGGTTTTTCCTCGGGTTTGGGAAGCCCGTTGAGCACCAGCTCATGTTTTTTTTTCCCCCCCTCTCTCCTGGTGTTCCTGGTGCAGGGACCACGGAGAGCCGGCGGTGCTGGGCGGGCTCTGACCGGCAGACGGACGTCCCGCGCTTCCACAGCGAGGAGCGCTGCCTGGCCCTGCGGCTGTGCGGCTGGATCAGCCGGGGCTCCGACATCGACGTGGACACCTTCCTGCGCTCGCTGGAGCAGGAGCGCGAGTGGGAGCGGGCGGCCGCCATCGCCCTCTTCAACCTGGACATCCGCCGCGCCATCCAGATCCTCAACAAGGGCGCCACCACGGAGAAGGGTGAGGGCCGAGGGCTGAGAGCGGCTTTGAGCCATCGCCTCATCTCTCAGAGGCAAACATCAGCCTTAGGCTAAAGTCTGACACTTCTGATGAGGAGAAGATTTGAAAAATGAGCGGGGGAGGAAAAAAAGGCCTTCTCTTAGTGGCCTTAACTGTGTGGTTAAAGTGGAATTTAAAGGAGGTGTTTCATACCAAAAAAACAAAAAAACACTGCTGTTAGTGTCCCAGATTTCTCATTTTGCCCCAGCTGCTCCTTTCAAAATGAGGAATTTGAAATAAAGGGTAAAATTATCTGGCATTTATGTTTGAAAGATAGAAAGAAAATACAAATATTTACCTTGTTGTTATATCCTGAACTAAAGTTAATTTTGTAAATCTTTCATAGAATAGATAGGTAGTTTAGATAGTCAGATATATAGTTAGTTATAGGATATTTTTAGGAAGTTTAGATCTGACAGGAATATGTGTTTCCTGTTGATGTCGGTGGCAAAGAGCAGCACTGCCAAAATGAAACATCCACCACAGAGCCCTGCAGCGTTCAGGCCCATGTTTTGGTATTTGTTTTTAGCAAAAACACGTCGGGCGATTATGGAACGCAGTCCGATAGCATGGATGATGTTAAACACAAAGGAAAGGTTTAAAAAAAAAAAACTGGGAACAAGTTAATTTGAAGGGAAACACTGGAATGTGAAAAATGCAACATCAGGACAGACTTGTTTTCCACAACAGCGAGGAGCTGCTCACACCGAGTTTTGGAGGAAGTGTGACCGAGAACAATTCCACCAATGTAGGTCAGACATTTTTCTGTTGTGTGCTCTAATGAATGCTTCCTGAGCATGACCGATGGGGTCATCCATTAGATAAGGTGTGTCAACACGGCCATCTCAGCAGTTGGAGTTTCTCCCTTTTTTCCGCACAGTGCTTACTCTCATTTACAGGCTTAAGCAGACATTTGGAGGTAGGGGGTCAATTTCGAGGGACATAGGTGTCTTCTGCCACACCCCCATTTTGAGATCTTATGACCTTTTTTAAGTGGTCTTGAACGTTGATTTAAATGTGTGGGGGACATAAAAATCCTTCAGATGGTTTTAGAGTTGTTGTTTTTTCAGGCGTTTTAAGCAAAAGCTGCTGGACTTTTACGGGGTTAAGGAACCGGTGCTGATGCGGGCTTCAAAGCCTTCTCCAGGAAAACTTTGCAATCTGCATGATCCTCCACGGGACATTTTCTCCCGTCTGCCCCCGCATCCCCGGCAACCTTCGGCCCGATTCGTGGGGCGTGTGTGCAGCTGCTCTCTGCTCCAGCAGACCCGTTGAATGCTAAACAAATTAGCTCACTAAGTAAAGAATTAGCTGGAAAGAATTAGCTGCTGTTATTGTACCCTCCTCAGCCCGCTTTCCTGAAAAGACACAACCGCGGGCGACACTTTCAGCTGTGCCGGGCGGGAGTCTGTTTGTGCGTGCCAGAGTTTGTGTATGGTCGAAACAACAAACGCATCACCATCAACCTTTATACTCACAAGCTGTTCACAATATTTATAATTCATAAGACGCACTGAAATGCGTTGAATGACTTAGATGAATGGTCTACATTTACGTTGGTCAGTGCACAAACCAGTGTCCCGTTTGCTGCGTCTGTTAGCTGATTACAGTCTCTAGAACCATAAAACAAAGTCCATCGCGACTCCTGGGTCGTAGAACTCATTTATATGCATTTAAACCCCTCTGACTTCCTGCCGCCTGCCCACAGGTGACCTGAACCTGAACGTGGTTGCCATGGCGCTGTCGGGCTACACGGACGAGAAGTCCTCCCTGTGGAGGGAGATGTGCAGCTCCCTGAGGCTCCAGCTGAAGAACCCCTACCTCTGCATCATGTTTGCCTTTCTCACCAGTGAGCCCGGAGCCTACGACGGCGTGCTGGTACTGCCTCGCTCTCTGTGACGGCCTCTCAGCCAAGTTAGCGAACAGAAAACAACGTTTAGTGGAGGTTAATAATGCAGATGCACGGGGAGAAGAGGTGTGTTTTACATCTCTATCTTCAGCGTCGGGTCTGAAAAGGAACCTTTGCCCAGCATAGAGCTTTTGATCCTGTCCTCTATCTAAAGGTTTTCTGTTTCATCTAAAAAAAAAAAAAAGGGTGAAACTTCATTCTGAAGTTTTTTTGTAGTCATTTTGCAGCCATCTTGGTTTTGGGACCTGATAACTTCTCCAGTTTGCGTGTTCGCGTGCCAAATATCTGAAAGTGTACAAGAAATTAGGCATTTTCACACACTTTTCAGGGGAAAATGTCCTTTTTTCTGCCTTCTGATAAACGAGAATCCTGTTTCCTGTTTCAGTATGAGGCCAGCGTTGCCGTGCGGGACCGGGTGGCCTTCGCCTGCATGTTTCTCAGCGACGCGCAGGTACCCGCACAGCAAAGCCCCGAGCAGCCGCCTCTGACTGGCACCTGCCTCCCGTACACCGCCTCCGCCTCTGCCGGAGGCCTGATGACTTTCTGCTCGCGTGTTCCCGCAGCTCCCGCGATACATCGACAAACTGACCAACGAGATGAAGGAGGCCGGCAACCTGGAGGGCATCCTGCTCACAGGGCTGACCAAAGACGGCGTCGACCTCATGGAGAGCTACGTGGACAGAACCGGGGACGTTCAGACGGCCAGTTTCTGCATGCTGAAGGTAAAAAAAAATGATGCAACGGGACTTGGGTTCACATGTGACAGCTGGCCACACCCATTAGGTGGCACCGTCGCTTTAAATCTGAAAAAGGTCTCATGCTCGAAGCATCTCCCTAAATTACAATAAACAGACACATCAGGGAAAAGGCTCGTATGAAAAACATGCCACTTCTTTAAATTACTGAGCATCTTTTGATACAAAACAAAGCTTGTTGTTCACTTTCAGCCTCATTCAGGTCTAAAGTTGTACAGAAACACTTGAAGCGAGGAGCTAATCAGACGCACCAATTAACTGACCACCGTTAGGGTGAACACCTCTGTTAAAGCAGACGTTTTGGGGATCCTGGGGAGTTTAGGTGTGTGTTTACATCCCAGAGAAGCAACGCTCAGAGAAACTGCAACAAACCCAAGAGCTCCACAGGCCCCAGTTAGCATGTCAGAAGCTAATGTTAGCGACAGTGACACAGAAACAGACTGAACTGGGCTGCTGTTAATAATAATCTCTCCAAACAGGGTTCTCCAAGTGAAGTGTTGAAAGACCCGCGAGTCCAGTGCTGGATAGAAAACTACCGCAATTTGCTGGACGCGTGGAGATTCTGGCACAAGCGGGCCGAGTTCGATATCCTCAGAGGCAAGCTGGACCCCAGCTCCAAACCACTGGCACAGGTATTTATTACTGCTGGGAATTTGAATAATCAGATAGTTTTGCTTCTTGTGTACTTAATAGAAAATAATTTCTTTTTTTTTTTAAACGCTCAGAAATGTTGGAACATTTCTCATTTTAATGCTTGTTCTTTAAGGTAGACGGTTAATAACAAAAGTTGAGCTAAAAGCTGAAGGTTGTAGGTAAGCAGCCGGTTGCCAGGCAGACTTCACTTCTCTTAGCTCTGCTCTCCAACTGCTGCCATAAAAACCTGTGGTGGTGTTTGCAGAGTTTTTCGGGTTTCTTTGTTTTGGAGGCATCAAGAATAGGTTTTTTTTTTTTTTCCAAAAGGGGATTTTATGTGGAATTAAGAGTAAGATTGGGCTGCGAGGAGAACTCAACATTCCTATAATCACCTTTAAGCACGTTGGGATTATTGCCGTATTATCTAACACTTATCTCCGTCTCTCCCGAAAACACGGAATCCAGACAGCTGGCGAGCATGTGCACGTTCGTTTTTTTTTCCTCACGCTCCGCGGCTCTTATCAGGTGACCTTTGCGTTTGCCCCCCGGCAGGTGTTTGTGAGCTGCAACTTCTGCGGGAAGTCCATCTCCTACAGCTGCTCGGCGATGCCCCACCAGGGCCGCGGCTTCAGCCAGTACGGGGTCAGCGGCTCCCCCACCAAGTCCAAAGTCACCAGCTGCCCCGGCTGCAGGAAACCGCTGCCCCGCTGTGCCCTCTGCCTTATGAACATGGGCACGCCTGTTTCCAACTGCCCAGGTAAAAGGGGATTATATTGACATATGCGTAACAGATATCCAACACGCAGAGTAAAGGCAGCTATAAAACCGAAAAAAAAACACAGGTGGACTTTGATCTGTGTGTAAAGACAGTTGGCACCTGGACGTTTATGGTCCCACTGATGTCCCACCACAAATGTCAATAGCCCAATTGGATTCCTATCAACTCACGAACGCATCTTTTTTGACAGGAAGCGGGAAATCGGATGAGAAAGTGGACCTGACAAGGGAGAACAAACTAGCCAAGTTCAACAACTGGTTCACCTGGTGTCACAACTGTCGCCACGGCGGCCACGCCGGTCACATGCTCAGCTGGTTCAGGTAGGAGCAGCCGTGTCAAAATCCGGTTCAGGCCACATGGTCACAGCCGTTCAGCTTCTGTTAGACCCATTTGGGGGGGAAAAAACGTCCAATCATTTGATTTATGCAAAAGAAATAAAAAGATTTTTTCATGACCGATGAGAGATAAGAAATATCCGGATTATGTCAAATTATTGACATGCAGAAGAGAATAAAATGGGGATTTTAATGCTCTAAGAAGGTTTAGTTCGTAGTTAAAGGGGGTTTAAGGTTAATGGAGACTGATAACTGTAAAACACCATGTTCAGAAATTAAATAAAGTTAATATATCTATCCAGTTATACACACACTAGCTTTATTTGTAGAATGCTGTCCTTTCCTTTTGTCCTAATGTGGGCTAGTATTTTTGTCTTTCCATTTTTCGGACCTGACTTGATCAAACTGACCCCCGTGTGTCTGTGCGCAGAGACCACACAGAGTGCCCAGTGTCGGCCTGTACGTGTAAATGCATGCAGCTGGACACCACAGGAAACCTGGTGCCTTCAGACAGCAGCTAAACAGGAGGCGCTTGTTGGAAACCGAAGGCAAACGCCATCCCGAAGCCGAGCGGTGCGCGTCGACTTCTGCGCTCGCCACACGCCGACCACCGGGCGCCCGGGCCAGCCGGGCCCATCTTTGAAGTTGCTGCTTGAACGGAAAAAAAAAACAAAACAATATTTTCAGATAATAACCTAGCGAATGTCATCTAATAACAGAGCTCTATTTGAAGAAGGGAAGCAGCGTGGGTTACTTGATGTGACTAATTGAACTAATTGCTAAAAGGGAGCTAACGCTAACTCAGTGCTCTGTGAATGAAGATTACACTCAGGAGAAACATACAAGAGGCTCATCTGTAATCGGCCTCTTCCAATCTAACCTGAATCAGGATTCTTTGTTTAACAGTGATCTGTTTGATTAAAAAAAATAATAATCTAATGTCCTCTCAAACATCACGTCATAGCGTGACCGCAGGTGCCATTATGTCCGAAGTCTATTTTTCTCTTGTGATTTAATGGCTGTTTCATGTGTTTTTGCTTTTCTAATGGGAAGATCTCTACATACCTCATAAGAGCATTTTTCAGGGTGGCAGCACCAGCCTCTTCACGCCCCCCCTCTGCCGCTCTTCATCGGGCATCGGGCATTCAGCCTGAGGGACAGGGGTTTCGGGGGGGGGGGGGGTAACAGGATGAGGAATGAGGCAGGGGGTGGCGGGGAGGAGGAAGGAGGAGGCGTGTGGGAGGGTGTAGCTGCATTCACCGGCCCGCTACAGGCCTGTGCTCCATGAAAGAAGCTCCCCAGAAAACAGCAGCTGCTCGGCACTCTGACAAGACCCTCCAGATTGTTCCCCTCATAAAGAACCTCAGCTGCCGGAACACTATTGACTCAAAGAGAGGGCGAGAGAACAGACAGCCTAAGCCCCCCCCCCCATCCTATGCCTTCCACATATACACATTGGCCCTCTCTTTATCTCCTCACAATTTCCAAATTGCACCCGAAAGCTATGCATGCCACTCATCAGTCCAAGGATAGGCGCCATCTGTGGGGGAACGCCTTGTGTAAAACACATTGTAAATTGGTTTTGTGTTTCTATGCCCCCCCCCCCTCTCCGCACAGTAACCACCCCGTGGACGCATTGTAAGTGAGGGGCGGCCTGCACCAGACCCGGCTAAATCACTTAGTCATGGAGTGAGGAGGGGGGGGGGGGCACAGGAGCTACTGTATGCAGCATTCACCGAGATCTCCTCCCCGGTATGGGAAGTTTTATAGACCTCCACGTCCCTTTGTGAACCTTTTCGGGAGCAGGGCCGACAAATTGGCGAGCCGTGTAGCGTCTCGAAAAAACAGAGTGGCTGGAATTTCATCCTTTCAGTGTGTCTTGTGTTTGCCTTTTAAATAAATTCCGACTGACAAATTGGAGCACTGCTGAATGGGGGGTGTTTTCTATAAGTTTACATGGTTTGTTTCTACATCTTCTTTCATTCACTCAGATAGCGTGGGTTTCCTGTCAAGTGCTTCCATTACTTGTGTATATTCTGACAATGGGAACTCTCACAGGTTCCCAAATCCTGAGTGCAGTTAAGGAGATCCATAACAGGACAAATTATGAACATCAGACCTCCATAAGCATTGAGTTTCTACTAGCTGAAATTTAAGATAAAGCCTTGACAGCAGCCTACAAAGCAATTGTTGTTTGTGAGGTTCTAAAGTTGATCTGGTTATCATGAAATAGTTCTGGCTCTTGCCAGTGGAATACAGATGTTAGCCAACTGTCTCACCACATTAGTTGGCTAGAAATGTCTGCCTGAAAGGAATGTGATTCAGGTTTCCAGAATATCTGAAAGCAAATCTGTGGAGTCTCGGACATCAACCCACGAGTAGGAGCTAAATACCTCTAATCCAAGGAGTTCCAGGCATGTGGTGCTGAAGACATTGGTAGTGATTAGATACATAAACGTAAACAACCTAAACCATAATATCCAACGTTTTCCATAATCATAGCCCAATTGAATATATTCTGCCATAGATTGTTAATGAATTTCAGGATAGAGCAGTTTTATAGCTCATATTTCAGATTTATGTATAATTTTGGGTTAATTATTTTTCTTTGACCTTACAACGACATGTCACCTTAAATTTCCTTAGTAGACAAACACCAGCTGCTGATAATTGCAGTAAAGCTACTAAAGTTTCTAGATGAGTTACTAAATTGTGGTGAGTTTGTGGGAGGACCTTGTCATTGTAAGCTGAGTTTGTATTGTTGCCATATTGTCTAAAATAATTGTATGGCCTCAATATCTGTATACTGTTATATTGAGTCAGTTTTTAACCATACATTTATCCGGAGGCGTTATTAATTTTTTATTTATTTTTACTCCAAACCTTTACACACGCTAATAAAATGTTCCATTCGTGATTGGTTGAAAGTATGGTCCTTAGATAAACTCACACCAATCAGCGACGTTACTGTAAGCTGACACTGTCCAATCAAAAGTGCGGAACAGAGCGGCTGGGCCCGCCCACAGACGCCAGCCAGTAGTCTGGTCGGAACAACTGTCATTTAGAATGAACAGGATGGGGAAGACGGTTGAGCTGGAAAACGCAAATGAAATGTTTTGAGAAATTAGTTAAAACGACTTGAAAAGTTAGCCATATTATATTTGCAGCTTTAGGTAGCATGGTTTGATATCGTTAAGGTAAGTTTGTCTCTGAAAAATACGTGTTTGAGCTTTTATTGTGTTCGAACGCATGAGTTGAAAATTTTGTTAAAGGAAGCTAACGTTTTTCGCTAACAAGCTAATGTTTATCCACCTCCCCCCCCCCCCCCCCCCACCCCCCCCCCACGCTCCCCCCTCCAATCATCTCCTCCTCCAGAGAAAGCAGCAACTTTAGCAGTACGTATTTTTTTCACTGCGATAACACTATCTGCCACTTTGCCGAGGATGTCAGCCCCCACCAACTCGCTTCAGCAGCCCAGGATGAGGCGCAGCAACGCGGGCTCTCCCGGGTCCTTCAACAACGGCGGCTGCCGCCTGCACCCTATCCGTGCCACCGTGCCTTACCAGCTCCTGCGCGGGGGTCAGAGCAGCCCGACACGGGCGCAGACTTTGTCCGGAGGAGCCACGAGCAGCCGGGGCTCCAGTCCCCCCTCCAGCCCCCCGACGCTCTATTCAAACGCTAAGCAAAGACTGTCCCCCGAAAACAAGGAGGCGTCCGGCCCCCCTGACAGAGGTAAAAAAACACACTCTGCTGTTTAGTCCTGCCTAGTCTTAGAAAGGGCATGCCACCACGTGCGTTGGTCTCAGGATAACTTGTCATGGTAACTTGTTAATGCCTTGTTTCTTGACAGGCAGTGAAGTGTGAAAGCTGTTTTTTATTTGCTAAGAATGGGGCCAGAAATTAGTGTTGTAAGATAAGCCTGGAACATGATTTGGACTTGATATACGGCTATCGGGTGCAGTGACTGTTTAACTTGTTGTTCACCCACATTTAGACATTTCCAGGCGATAATGGTGTAAATCTGTCTCCTATAATTCGTATGGACCTTTGAAAGGGAGAGCATGAGGAAAGACTTGGCAGAAAGACGTGGTATCAGTTGTAACTGGGCCAATTCACTTCACTAGGAACAGGGCTGAGCTTAAGTGAAACCTGCCCACATTGCACCTCATATACTTTCTCAGGTATGCTTGGCTAATCTTCTGAATTTATGCAAATGCACAGCAAAGGTACAACGACCCATTCAAATCTTTCTCAATGCTTTACTGACTCTTGTTTATATGACTGTTTGTACTGACTAATTCAGTTGCCTGTTTTTTCCACAACCTAGAACTGTTTTATGTTTCTCCTTACATGAAAAAAAAACATTTTATGTAATAAGCACACACATACTTAGATATGGTCTGCAAAATTCTTTAAAACGCATAATCATAATGGAGGTGTCTAAAGTTTGTATAGTGACAAAGATTTGCTCTACTTCTATTGACTTCATTATTTTTTTCTGCATCAACAGCCTCATGAGTCTTGCTTCCATTGGACACACATCATAACTTCAACCTTTACCGTTAACCAACACATTTCTTTTTGTAGTGTAGCATGTTGGTAGTTGTATCATTCACTTAGGGGTTTTTATGTCTGTGACGGGCCTCAGATTCCTGTCATCTCTGAACGAGATGACCTCCAGCCTTGACCGGTGTATCGTGCAAGGCAGGAAATAAAGTGTCTTCCATAACAACCACAAGACCGATTAGCCAAACATGATGAATTTCACCCTTGTCTGACCAGCTATGGGTGTTGATTTCTTACTACAGCTGCATGCCTCGCATACCTCATATCGTCTGTGAGCGATGACCTTTAACCCATGCCAGTGTCCCATGTCAGTTGTGATGATGGAGACTTGACCTCACAGCTCAAACAGAAATGGGTGCCCTCAGACTGTCAGCAGGGATTTGGTGGCCATTTCAAATAAAAAATGTTAGGACATCATCATTTTCATCTTTTAGCTCTGAATCACAACTTATTGTTCACAACTCAGGATGTTTAGGTAGCTTAGTTATAGTACTTTGAAGCTCCTCAGAGAGGTGCCTCTTGTCATTTAGTGAAAAACGTGTAATCGTGGTCAGGGCTGCACTGTGTTCAGATGGCTTAGAGGTTACCCTGATGATGAATAATACTGCCGAAAGTATTATGTTCTAAATCGTGACCTTTTTAGGTTCACCAGCATGACATCATCCTCTTACCACACTGTCCTGACAATGAAAGTCCTGCTCACTGTCAAAGTGCCAGTTGTGCTGAAACAGCCCGGCTTCATTGTCACTCATTCAAACTGCAGAGTAGGACCAAATCTGAAAATGAATGTGGTGTCTACATCAGTCGACTCCCGTGGAACTGTTGTTTTCTATATTTCTCTTCACGTACACACAACACTTTATGCCCGTGAGTCCACCGTTATGAAAAGTTGACCGGCCAGCCCTGTTAGCATACATTAACTAAAATTCAGAGGGGTTGCGGCTAGCTTGTTGCATAAGCTATCCGCTCAAGGTTGCGGTTAATTTTTGAGACCAGGAAAAGATGCATAAACCTAAGACTTCAACAGACTATGCACTATGCAATAATGCCATATTTAACTTCCAACGGAATCTGCATTATCTATTGTAATAAAAATATATGATGAATAACGTAATGTTTTTTCCGAGTTCACCATCAATCGTTTGGGGTGTTGTTGTGGTTCGAAGGGAACTTTAGAGCTGACGAGTTGGTAGATAACCCAGGTTAACTCTCTCTGTAGATGGTAATATGTCCAGGATTTCAGCTTCTGTTAACAAGCGCTGTCATGCGTTAAGCTTGTCCGTTATGTGTACGGGTGTCCTCGCATTTCCAACGATTAATAAGGGAAGAGATGTTTTAAACTGCCATCTGCTTTTTCTCCATTTAATTCCTGCCTGCATTCTTGACATCTCCTGTTTATCTAATGGGGATTTAGGGTTCGTTCCAGACATTGTATGAGCTCTGGGAGGCTTGATCGGCCATTCCCACATGCTAACAACTTTTCTGTTGCAACGGTTCTGGACCACAACAGAAGTCCAGGAATTACCAGCAGAAATCATTCCAACAGCACAAGATCCAAACCAGTGTGGAGAAGTGTGTATAAATGCCAATTCAAGAGAAAATAGATGTGCTCTTTGGTTGAGTGGAAAAATGTCTGCATCCATCTTCACTTGGCCAAAATAGTTGAGAAATATTGGCTTATCTGCAAAAAATTCTCGTAGTGCATCCCTAATCGGTATGAGAGATATTTCTGTTCGCACTGAGCAGTCATCTCTTCACTATGAAACCAAAGCTCGCCCATTTCTAATCACGACACCTGAGTAAACTAGTGTTTAAGCCCAGAACAGCTGCAATTGAATTTGATTTACTTGACTGTTTCTTAATGCAATTAAATGTAAACAAATGCATTGAAATGATTAGAAAATAGTTGAGTCCATTTGTTTGTTTCAGATGTAAGGGCAGGTCTGCTGAAAGTACACTTTCAAACACTTCTACAACACGTAGTGATTTCATTTATGGCTGCAGCTGTTCGGTGGTTATTGACAATGTGGAATTCAGGGGTTGGAGTGGGTCATTAACACGTCTCAGGGTCAGTGGTTGTGTCCCTGGCTTCATCAGTTCACACCAAAAAAGTGCATTTTAGGTCAAATACTGAGCTGCATTTGCCCCTCGTGCAATATCTGTTCCCCCATCTTAATGGTGGAGTAAAAAGCTGCTTGAATGACATTTTAATGTTTGAAACCTAGTATGTGACAAGCAAGTAGCTCGAGTAGTTTTTCAAATGTAAAGTGTAATAGCTAAACTGAAATCAGAGTTGTTGTGCCTCAAGGAACAGGTTGGTTCTCTCGCTGTCGTGATTTACTGCGCAATTTAGGTGGGTCCATAATTGGACGACCAAACATATTCACACCTTTTCATTGCTTTGGGTTTTGTCTGAACAAATATCATCTTGTTGCTGCTTCTGCTCAGCCGTATCTATTTATTTAGGCAAAACCTTAAATAACACGAGGCCAAAACCCTCTTTTGCTTTCTAAACATAAATCTCATCTTTGGACTTGTGTGTCTATCATAGGCTAAAAGCGAAGTCGGGGTTTGTCTTTTAATGCGTTTCACTGGATTTACGATACTTTATGGCACCAGCAGCTATTCCACTCGGTGGAACTTTCTTGGGGAAAAGTTATTACCACAGAAAAATAACTCCTAAATCATGCCAGGTGTGTTTTGGGAATATCTAAGATGGTGAAAGCGCAGCGGTTTTGACGGAGCAAGTTGTTGAGGATCTCGTCTACAGTCTTCAGCCCCCAGGAAACACTTGGGCCGAGGATTACCGGTTTCAACCACATGCTTGTTTTCATTCTTTCTTCTGCCCACTCATTTACTCTTGAATAGGTGGAAACCTGCTCCCTGCCAGCTGAACGGCCTGTGAAGCGAGAGTGCGTGTTACAATTCAGCCTGAAAATAAACCAGAAGTATCACGGACAGTGTGGCTCACTCGCCCCTGATATCAGCAGATGGGCTGCTTTCATAGTCTTGGCTTCTTTTTCTCGCGTTCCTTTTTCTCATCAGGAGATTATTCTAGTCTGGCAAGTGGAGAGTTCATGGAAAATAACCACAATCCCAGTTCTGAGAGCGCCGGCTTGGCCTATATCAATATTACTGAAAATTTAGCCTCCTTTCTTTGTCTGCGGCGCTTCAGGGAATTTTACTGTAGCCCAGTGAGCTTACTTAGGCAATACCTTTGGGTGGGTAGGCCTGTGTATTCTATGAACAAAGAACAACAGTGAATAGCTGTGCAGCTCTACGAGGAAAGAGGTGCCTCATGAAAATGGTTTTGTCTCTGTGTGTGCCGTGTCCACATGTGTGCGAAATAGAAAGGCCTTGGAACTTGCTCAGGAAAAACTATCATAGTCCTCTTTATTGTTTCCACTTTTATTCGAAAATGAAAAGGTGTTTATTTGAATTCAGGCCTGAATATGTTAGACCACTTGTACTCTCAGTTTTAGCACTCTCAGAAATTGTTCTTCACGTTTGCATGCTATGTTGTGTCTTTTTTGTGTTTGTGCTGCGTGCCTCTGCAGGAATGTTGTGTAGATACAGGCAGCGTTGATGTGCATTGCTCTGTGGTTGTTTTGATTTCTTATGTGGGTGGTGTATGCTTTACTGCTCTAGGTCACATTAGATTGCTCTCCTAACATCAGATACTCTTGCTCAGCCATTTACATTTTGCCTCAGGACTTGGCTCTCAAGCTGGCTTTTTCCTCCTTAGGTACGCATAGAAGGTTCAAACAGCCGTCCAAACCCGTGTCTTAATAAAACATGCTTAATGGCATTAATGTTAGTACGGAGGTGTTACTCATTTGACTAATGGCTCATTTTAGATGATATCTTTCTGTGGCGATAATACTAAATTATGACTACAAGCCTCCCTCCTTTTTCCTCCTTAAACAACATACATCATACTTAAATTCAAGTTTGAGGAGAGTAGCAGTGCTATTTGAAAATATAGGCCATGCAGTGGTCTGCACATTTCTGCTTTGCCGTTGGATGTTTTTGATGTGTTCAGCCCAGGCACAAAGTCAAGTGTGTGGGTGGCATGATTACACGTCAAGTCAGCAACGCGACAGACCCAGTTTTGCCTAAATGGCAATTTGAGGTAATAATTTCTACATGGGTTACTTTCTCCCATTTAACACTGCAAACGTGCAGGAGCTGTTTTCAAAAAGGATTAGTCAAAGTAAAGCCACTCTTTGGGGTAAGTTATCACAGATGCTCAGTAAGCAAGGCTGTCAGCTATGTTAAACTGTTTTCAGGTAGGCTTATTAACATTTATTTAGCTCAATATTATAAATTAAGAGTGTTTATAATTGTGCCTGAAAAGTCCTCAGATAACATTTTATGAGTAAAGGCAGGCCATTGCAGATGACAGGAAGAAACGGCTCATGGTTTCTTTGGGGTAGTTTTTTTTTTTTTTTTTTTGCAGGGGAGTGTTGCTAAAAGCTTTAATGGCGTTTAAAGAAAATGTAGCTAATGTTAGCTAAAGAGGCAGTGGGCTTCTGGTTCAGTTATTTTAGGACTGCATCCTTTCTTTTTGCACATGGTGTGTTCCCTGTGGCCTCAGCAGGTGAGGCCTCTCGGCTGAGTGTGAAGAAGCCAGAATGAGCGTTAGCACCTACGTGACCGAGGACGTGGTGCCCGGTTACAAAGGCTGCATGGCTCCTCTCAGGTCTGGAGCGGACCACTGCCGTATAAGTATATTGGGGTGGTGTTCATGAACCCGGTAGAGGATGTGGCAGCACACTGAGAGGTGGATCGAGGTGACGCCTGGCTCTGGCGTCTGTACTGGTCTGTCACGGTGAAGTGAACGCTGACCCGAAGGGCAAAGCTGTGTGAGTTTACCAGCTGATCTACATTCCAGCAACTGGAAGGCGGTAAATGGAGAGCATGAGGTTTCAACTACAAATTTTCAAACTGGAGCCTCATCAGAAGAGTGTCTGAGTTCATCCTTAGCCACAGGCCGAGGGGCCTGGCTGTACGGGAGATGGTCCGAGTGCATCAAGAAAAGCCAGTTGCTTTTTGCTTGGCATGTTTACAGATGCTTTCCGAAGGCCTTTTCGGACCTGACCACCAAGAGAAAGCCTAAGGGGAGACCTTAAACATGCCCAGGCTGATCTCTCTTCCACTCTTACCTTAAAGAGCTGTAAATAATGGGCTCAAAGATGGATTCATGTTGTGGGTATTTTCTTAAAAATAGGTTGATTATAGTGTTGGATTATAAACAAAAGGTGTAAATAAGGGAGTTTAAAATGTTCTCCAGAATGACATGCACGATATGGAAAGGACCCTTAAGTCTCTTTTTCTGTTTGACTTCACAGCGGAAAGAGCTAAATTACAAGTGCGGAGCTCCAGTGCCATTCGAAGGGCGTCTTCACTGGACGCCATCACAGGACCGTACCTCACTGGTCAGTGGCCACGGGACGCCCACGGACCGTACCCTTCCTGTATGAAAGACAAAGCTACCCAGGTACTCCCCATTCAGAGCACCCCATCAAAGTTATGTTCACGTCTTCATTTTGAGTTTTACCTGATGTTAGCATTATACTTTTCCAATCACTTTAAGTAAGGGCAGCTTTGATTAGTCTTAAAAAAGTTAACAAGTTTATGGAAATTCATCATTCATTATTTATTTATTTTTGCATTGTGCAAAGCTTGTTAGAGGGCTGTATTTAAATCACACAGCTATTATCTATTTTATGGCTTTGTATTCAGGCCAGATCTCATGTACACAAGAATATAAACAAAATGTCAATATTGAATATTGTCATTACCGTCAACAAAGCTTCACTGCACAGTGAGGAGGTAATTAGAAGTCCTGGAATTACCATGAGTTCACTAAATGACTTCAAATGAATCTTAATCCATTTAATATGACTAAGAGTCTGGCACCGAGACTGACCTTCAGGATACATTTGTTGTTGATTTACCCACCCAACCGGAATCATGAAAGACTAAAAGTAACCAACAAGTGCCTCATAAAAGGAGACAGACAGCTTTCTGGAGCTACTTCCCAACTTCTGTGGCTGTATTTACATATCGTTGATATTATTCACGTCCCAAAATCGCTGAATTAGTGAGACACATGGCATAAAATGGATAAGATATTGTACAATGTTCCATTGTAACCACCACTCATAGAACACTAGCACAGAGGGTGTAACAGGTGATCAGTGTTTGCCCCTCCTGCTGGTGATTGGTTTCTGGAGCTTGTATCGCCACACACGCATGTATGTGGATGGCGTTAGACTTTTTATCAACTAGCCTCATGCTGGCTGGTGCAGTTATCTGACTCCAACGCTGATTAGATAAGGAGGCTTTCATGAATATGCAAAGGATACAAGGGCTGAAAGTGTGAGCCATAAACAGTGTCTGCTATTCAAAGTCATATTGTAAGCAACAGCGCCAAAAGTCGCGGCTCTTATATTTTATATCAACATGTTCCCATGTTTAACCCAAAGTAAAACATGTTCACATGTTTAACCCAGAGTAAAACATGTTCACATGTTTAACCCAGAGTAAAACATGTTCACATGTTTAACCCAGAGTAAAACGTGTTTGGTGTCACAGTAACTTGGTGACCGAAAGTGAAAGTAGCTGGGCGTGCAAAACAAACCTGTGTGGCAAAATGGAAGCCAAATACAAGCTCAACATCCACCAACTGGCCCCAGCAGCTGTCCTCTTTCTATTTTCAGATGCTTTGTGAGCTCTGAGTTGTGCCCAGAACGCGCCGATTAATCATTGATTTCTTAATGACGTATATCAGTTTATCAAATTCGAGCAAACGCGGAGTGGCATCAAGTGACTTCAGTTTTCATGATTAAGAACGAGTCTGAGATAAAGTTTGGTAAGCTTCAACTAATGATTTATAGTGACTTCTAAATGTATAGATCTGCACAGATGATTAAATAATTAAACTTTTTGCACAAATATGTGCTCATTGCTAAATTAATGAAAACTAATGATAATCTCTAGCCTTGGAGTGGTATCTGCTACCAGTCAGGGAATAAACTGCTTATCTTTCCCTCAGTTGACCAATATTAACAAATTTAGGACATTAGGACATTTTCTTTTTCTTTTTTTTCCGTCTTTTCGTGGAAAACGGCTCACCCAGGATCCATTCGCTGTGTGGTTTTACTCAAAAGAAAAAGAGCTCAATTTTCTAAGAGTGAGGGTTTGTGTTATTAAAGAATATTGAATATGTATGATCTTGATGAGGGAGGCTCTCCTCATTGCTCACAGAAGCCTTTCATGTAACTGAAAGAAGACCGCCAAGCCTCATTTACATGGGCTTCATCCCTTTAACCCCTCATTTGCTTTGCATTTCTTTGAAAACTGAGGAAATGGTGAGACGGCTTTGCAAGATATCTTGAAGTGGCTGTGAGCAAAGTAAACACCTCTAATTACAGGGTTCCTGTGTGCAGCCCTGGAACGTATGGAAAATCATTTGGATAATTGTGTGGGCTTTTCTGGACTCATATATTTTGATATCTAAAGGATTTGATGTTTCTTGGCACAGCGTGGTATTTGTTTCTCCGGCTAACATGGGCATATTTATATGTGACTGTCAGTAAAAAGGGGGAAAAAACATTTAAGCCATTTGCCTATCAGAGCTGTGGAAATATAAGTTGAGACATAGCTGGCTGTCTCATAAAACGGGGCCGAGTGTCACACACTTCACAATCCTTGAGCGATTAATTGCTCAAACTCCCCAAAGGACAGTCGGAGATAACTTCCTGTTAACAAGTTATGCCCGGGCCCACTCCTTTTTCATAATATAACAGCTGAAAGCGCCAGACAAAAGGACCCTGGTCTCTTTTGTTGGGCTTTGCATAAGTTGAAGACGGCCTCTCCGTTTGAGCTGCAGCACGGCCCCGCATGGAGGTGAAGTTGTTTGCACCTGTCTCCCAGGCGAGGCGAGGAGAAATCCCACTGCTTACCACCTGGCCCTTGTGGCCGCCCGCCTTTTGTGTGGGATTTGAGGAGCAGAGGGTCCATACATATGCTAATGGCTGTTCCGGGATCGGCCTGTGCGCCTTAGGCCCTGTGGTTACAGAGCACAGAGCGTGTCTGTATGAAGATTAGGGCCCTAACTCACCAGGCCCACCTCAAAGAGCACGCAGAGAAAAAGACGGGCCGTTTGCTGCGTCCACTTTTGAATCTAACGTGCAGACTGTAGATGGTAGCAGTCTGATTACTGGCACACACTTCCACTCTGTGCCTACGTGAGAGGAAACTACTAATCAGAAGTCTGCTTATCTGAAAAACAAACAAAACATGCAAGTTTACTGTTTTCAAGCAATAGTTTAAATTGCAAGTTGCAAAAGTGCCTTAAATTACTTTTGTTTTGCTTTTCAGCCATCAACTCAGGGAAGAGTTTGCTGTTGAAAGCAGCTAGGTTAGTTTTGAGTTGTCGGGTGTGTGTGTGTGGGGGGGGGATGGCTTGAAACTTGACTTCATGTAATCTTAAGGGCCCTTTTGATTAAAGCTGAAAAATACCAACCCCTAGATATTTAAACATTTTCTGGAATGCTGAGTGAGTTTCAGACGGGCAGGAGATAACAGACAGAAAGTCACCGGCCATGTGCTCCTCTCCTTTCTTCAAACATCAAATGATAGCAGCGGTACTGTGCGCACACGTCCCGACATGTAACCTAAACAAAGCTGCAGAAATTCCACCGCTCTTCATTATTTCCTGCTTTGGAACAGAGCTGGATTCTTGAGGATGTTGCCTGCATGTAACCCTTTGGGTGGGAGTCACAATAGGAAGCGAGCTGCTGGCCGCGCTAGCAGAACCTCTATCTGTACAGCAGGACATTATCAGGCACAACACCTGGCACACGGGTCGCTACAAAGCACACAACTCAGGTTTCCAGGGTTTGGAAAGTGGCATGGCATGATAAAAATGTAAAAAAAGGCCTCTGAGGTACACAAAGAGTGGGTATTTGTGTGAGCAGAGTTGTATTTTTAACCTCCTCACTATCTTGATTGACTGCTTCCCCCCCAAAGCTGTTGTTGCAAACCTGTGGGGGGACGTGTAAATTCATGAACTGGAAAGATTAGCATTAGGAAAGTTGTAAGCACTTCCACGACATGATCAAGGGAGTAATTAGCTTTCTTTCTCTTGAAAAATGAAGCAACAGTTCTTGGATGCCAACTTGACACTGACGAAAAGAAAAAAGAAACTATTACAATTAATGCTACTTTATTAGAAACATTCCTTGTAACGCCACACCAGAAAAAAAATATTTCTGCCTATATGCTTTTACGAGTGCTCATAAAAGCATTTAAACTAAATCGAAGTGGGAACAGGGATGTATATTTGACATCACTGACGATCTGTCAGAACCTCATTTTTCCAAAACTCCACGAGGCCCGCTTGCCCTTTCTAGCAATTTGCATTTTATAAAAGCAGATTAGGCCTCAGCATCATGGCCCTCAATGTCTGGCAGAGGCATCCAACTGTACTGGTAATCCTGCAGGCCACGGACAAAATGTTAATGCTAAAGGCTAGTTACACATCTGCCATCCAGCATGGCCAAGCACAGTGGTCCCTTTTCATACGAGCACAAGCAGCCATTTAATATGTGTCCTTTTCTGGGGGAGCCAGTGCCAGCAAGCCTGCCCAAACGCCTTCACGGGTGTTCCTCATTATTCACAGTGTGATATTCCATATCATAGGGCAGGGATTGTGCGTTAGCCGGAGAGAGGGTTCTCCTCTGTTCCCGGGGTCAAACATAAGGCAGAGCAAAGACGCTGACTTTTAAGATGTTTTGCTCAGCCGGGCTCGACACAAAACGTCAGATGTTTTGGGACCAGAGGCAGTGTTGATGGGTCTAAACACGGACGGGCATGTGCCTCAGACAAGCCAGTCAAACATGCTCGGTATGTTTCTGTTTTTGCACGATTTTACGTAACTTTACACTTTTCCTCGTCACTGCAAGAAAGGTCTAACGTTATGTTATGTTTATGTTTAAAAAAAAACAAAAAACAGAACTGTCTATGCTCACTGGGAGGAGATGATCAGCTTATCAGCTGTTTTTCTTTTTCTGAAGCCACTACATTTCTGCAAACTTGTTGAACCTAAACAAAGCTGGCATTGTGGTGATCTGAACGGCCTTTTGGGAGATGGATAGTTTTTCCCAGCTAAGCTGAAAAGTCATAAATATAAAGGTGAAAACGTTCCGTTTAAAGTTGCGGAAAATCTCACCTGCGGCTGACAATGAGGTCGACTTTGCCTTTTTCATTTCTGCTTACTGGATTCTGAAGTGGGTGTAGCCTCACTACAGATGTATTTGTCTTAACCCAGCTCTCTAATGGAAGGAATGATTGTTTTTCCTGTTTAATATAACTCTTTCCTCAGGGTTTGTATCCCATGACTGTTATCCTCATTTTTATTGATTCCAGATTTTCAGCTTTACTTTTGAACACGCAGAACTCATTACTTGCGTTCTTCCCCCCGTTTTTCTCTGCTGCTCATCTAAACATTTTAGATTGTAAGTGTTTAGTAGCTGCTCACATCCTGTGTGACTTCATAATTAGTGGTTACATTAGGCAATAACTGCCGTGAGCATGCATGTTTTGAGTTTTTAGCTCTCATGAGCAAACCTTTGTGTACTTCATGGGCAGAAGTCTGTGCACAAGTGTGTACATTTATGTTTGTAGCTTTAGTTACATATTATTCTGACCTTTTTAATGCACAAAAACGTCCTGCTTATGGTAAGCACATATGAAATGTGCACATTTCAGTGGATTTTGTCTTTTCTAATAGCATTTTTCCGCCCACTCATTGTAAACACACAGGATTCTTCACCCTGCATGGCACAGGAGTTATTTGACAGTGGATGTACGGTAACTTTCTAACGTATATAAAAGTTTGTAATCAAGCTGAAAGACACGTGTGGTCGTCGTGTGTTTCTGCATCTCAGACTCCAGGTGTCTGGACCGATGAAGGAGCAGAACTGGGCAGTCCTCACCAGCGGTCAGCCTCGTGGGGCAGCGCAGACCATCTGAAAGAGGTATTACACCCCTTTTCACACTTTTTCCTCCTTTTACTTCAAAGTCCCTGCTGTTTGTGGCAGCAAACACCAGAGTAGACTTATGTCTGATACGGTCCAGGCCTCCTGACCTTAATACATAGAAAAGGTTAGTTAAAATAATGTATTTTTGAAGTTCTGTCTGTATACTTGGTGTGTGTTTTTTATTTGTCAGGGTCTGAGGTTGGCCTAAATATTCCTCTCCTTAAAGCTGGTTTCTGCTCCTGTCTATCTGCTGGTTTTGGTGGCCAACCAACCAACCACATGGAGTTTTAAGGACTCCAGCTCTCCAGACCACAGTCTAAATTTAACCTCCTTCTCCCACTTCACTCCACACAACTGAACTGTGTGAATCTCATTATGGGCTGTTGTTTTTGAAACGGGGCAGGAGCTCCTCTCAAGGTTGAACAGCCGCATTGTTTCCTTTTCACTTTTCCCCGAAGAAGTCGATCGAAGGGTAACTCATGCTACTTTTCAAAGAAAAAATCGCCACAGATGCTCCGGCTATACAATAAACATTCACATTTCTTTAGCAGAAAACAGTTCTCAAAAACAAATGGCTCACAGATGTGTCGATTCTGTTAGCACTGACCAGGAGAAAGATTCATACAAACTGTACGGTGCACTTACAGCCATACCAAAGAAAACCACACATAGTTAAATTCAACATCTTGCTGAGAATGATGTCATTTGACCTTTCAAAATATCATAAGGTCGTTTCTCGAATATCTGTTTTGATTTAACACACATTGACTCATTTTGTTGACCATGCATCAAAGCACAGTGTCAGATCCTCCGGTGTCTAATTGTACTGATCAGTGCTGTTTATGTAGTTAGTGTTTACCAGTTCGTTGTCTACAGTTAGAAAGGAGAGTTCAAGATGTGACGTTTCCCTAAATACAAGCTCTAGGGTTTCATAAGGAACATTCTTCCTATGATGAACTCATCTGATTGTTGGAATTCAGTTTCATAAATCACATTTACGCGTAAATACAACCTTTCACTGTCATTAGGGCCACGAGGAAAGAGTTGAGTTCGTCTTTATACAATCCCTGGGTCTTGGCCTGTACGATCAATAACGCAGCGCAGCCAGGAAAACTCATTTTTCCCATCTGCTGAGATTACGCTGGGATTGCCTGGACTTGTCATCATCGCCGGCTGCCACTAAATGAAGGCGCTCGACTAAATTCTAGCCCTCTGACTTCGGTCTGTATGTGTGGGAGGACGTTTGTGAAGAGAGCGAGTCTCTTTGTTGACGGCGTTGCCAGGTTTACACGCTCAGCACTAAAGACCACACCTTTGTCTACACAGTACAACGCTCTCTCTAAAACAATGTCCTGTTTTAGGCTAACTGGGTCAGATGCACTACAGACCTTCTGATTGTTGCAAATGTTCTGATGCGCAACAACGGTGAACTCAATTTGTGATTCATGGTGCAGACGTTGGTAGATATCCCTCTATTAACGTGCCATTAAACAACAGAAAGATGGCATTTTCTCCCAAAAGAGAAGCGAAATCAGCAGACTACCGAAGCAAACTCCAGGCCTATGAAATCGGCTTATTTCCAGAGGTTCACGACGTGTTGCAAAGCCTGACGGAGGGCTGCCGTTTGCTGAACTTGTCCTTTTTTTTCTTCCAGCAGATTGCTAAACTCAGACTGCAGCTGCAGCGCAGCAAACAGGCCACCCGGCAGAGCAAAGAGCGGGAGCCCGGCTCCCTGCAGCTGCTGCAGCCACAGGCGCAGCACTGCGCCGCGTGCCACCCTCAGGTCAGCGTCTGCCGCCGCAAAACATAAACTTTGCTCACCTGACGCAAGATTTTTATCCCGCAGCAGTGATGTGATAAGGTAGCTGAGCAGCTTTGGACTAAACATCCAAATGAAACAGACAGTGACCAAACTATAACACAGCTGCTAGAGGCAACTGTGGGGACCAGGAAATATCATGATATTAGCCATTTAAGTGAAGGTTTAGCACAGATTAATCTGAGTTAGACTAAAGTTGGCTGAATGCTGGACTGGGCAGGTCTGGTTAATCTTTTTTGCAGTCAGCTATGGTGCTGGGGGAATTTGTCTGGACATGCCTTTTCTGTCCTTGTTTGCTGTTCATTCATTAACGGATGTCCATGAATGGAGTGTTGGACCGGCTTTAGGCTTTTTTTGTTTGTTCATTTGTTTGGGCTTTTTTCAGACCTGATCTTGGTATTTACATTTATGTAATCGAAGCTGAGACATTACATAAAATATCATAAAACTTGATGAGCGAGTGTCAGAGGCGGCGGTGTGTAGACTGCATGTCTTTTTAGTCCACATTTGTGTGTTGTTTTTTTTAATGATCATTTTGTCTTGTCTTTTTTTAGTACAAAGGAGCTTCATCAACTTTGACGACAGTTCCTGTGACAAAATCTCTCATATGCAGAGTACCGAGCAGTGTGGAGGGCATCAACCATGAGCTGGAGAATGTGTTTATCAGAGACGACTGGCAGCCGGGGATGCAGGTACAGGGCCATTCCTTTTTAAATGAATGCATGCGGGGCTCAGCTGAAACCACCAGAACGGAGTTTGTTGTCTCACATGGACCTTAAACGTCTTATTTTTAGTTACACCGTAGCAATTATTAGTTTATTCTCTGAATATAAAAATGTAAATACTGACCAAGAATTAAAATGTCATTTTTTATTTTGATAACTGGTATTTTCTTCATTGTTTATTATCTAACGAGGCAAAGAAAACGAAGATTTAGTGTAACCATCGTAATATCTTCTCACAGGAATAACACACCTGAGGTTCAGCCCCCCCCCGCGCTGTGTGTCCCCTGAGCTCTGAATGTGACCGATACAGACTAACCCTTCTCACACGGCAGTTGTAGCTTGTTGGCAAAACAAAAGATACTTCCTTATTAACCTAAGGCTGTTCCTCTTTTCTTTTCTTTTTTTTCCAATTCACCCGTGCCAGACATTCTTCTTAGCCCCTCATCAGTGTGTGTTCTCACACCCACACACACACAGTGGGGTGGAATCACCTGAGTGATGTCGGCTCTGATGGTTAAAGTGGCGACTCGCCCTTATGTGCTCTGTTTGTACAGCTTCTTATTTCTTCCTGTGCCGGCTCAGAGCCGCATCAGCAGCAACCACCAACCAGCCATAACATTAAAACCACTGTCAGGTACAGTGAGGAGCACAGCTCACCTCCTCCTAATGAGATGTTTCCATAGAAAAACCCTCCAAAGTACGGCTTGGATGGTAAAGACCTCTGAATAATTGCTCACGAAGGGCTCAAAGATGACGACAAAAAGACTGAGATGTTCTATTAAACTCCCCACATACCAATCTGATATGATCTATGGGAAGCAAACCCCACCCCTATGACCCCACCCCACAGCCCACAGGGACCAAAGGATCTATTTCTGATTATGCTTTCTGTCCACACCCTCACTGGTCAAAGCTGTTTTTGCTGGGAAGGAGAACCAACACATCATTAGGTAGAAGACCATGATCTTCTTGGTTTTAGGTGCTGTGAGCCACAGTTTTGAATATTCTTGCCATCCTGAATGATTAATTTCCATTTCGCTTTATCTGGAATTGATTCGTCTCGGTTCAGTTGGAGTTTTGGGGCTTTTGATTATTTCAGTATTCATGTTCAGAAAGAATTCACATCATTTATTATTTATCTTTTTGTACTCCAGCCAAGTGAACATTTTATTTCAAACTTTACGGTAAAGGCCATTTTTCTTTTTTTCCAGCCACAGACTAGTTTATACAGTGTCTCACTGTTTTTACTTGGTCTGTTTGAGCTGATAAACCTCCCCCTGGTTAGTTGACGGAGACAGAGCGAGTCCTGTAAAGGTCCCACCTTTGACCCCCGTGTCTTTGTATCCTGTCGCCAGAAGTAACGTCTCATCCGCAAACACTCAGGTCTGTGTTCCGAGTCACAAAAGAGCTGTAAACTTCTGCTGGCCTCCTTAGTCGGTGTTAACACCACGTTTTTTTTTTTTATCGAGCCCACTCAGTTCCCCTAACCAACATCCCGCTCAAGAGTGGACATGTTATACATCTGGTTGTAGGATTTTGTTTACTTGTCCCCATCTTTTATAGAAAAACAGAAATACAAAAAAATAGTTTTCCTGAGGATGTAAAGTCTCTTCTTACAAATATTTCCGCTCAGAAATCAAGTGCTTGGAGCCAAACGGTGCAGTAAGCCAGAGCTGATGCAGGGCTGTAAACCGTGGCCACGCAGAGAGTCAAACATACTCGCGTTGTACGAACACACAAACGCACGCGCCTAAAGATTTACAACTTGTTGTTTGCACCGAGTTTGTTTTTTTTTCCTCCTCCTTTCTCGTTCTGATCAGCTGAGCCAAAGTAAAACACAGCCACATCACGCTGTTCGTCTGTTTTCAAGCGTTACCATCTGCTGTGGTGTTCTTTAGACAAACACACCAGAGGCCGTCCTTAGATTTCAGACATTTTAGCCGGTGCTTTTAACCCAGGATGACATGGCTGGCTAAGTGAGCGGGTGTCTGTGGAACACTCTTTCCCTTCAGGAGGGGGCCGTGACCTTTCGGATTTTGAGCGTCTCTGAACAAGAAGCACCGCCGCTCTGCCTTTTTAGGACACGTGTCTGTTAACGCACGACTTCTCTCTGTGCTGTGACCTGGCAGGCCATGGAGGTGGTGGACGGCCGCCGCCCCCCCTTCCCCGCGCATCGCTACAGCCACAGCGGAGACACGCGGGACACGGACACACAGGCCCCCTCCAGCGGGGAATCCAGCCCGTCGCCCCGCCCCCGCAGCTCCGACCACCTCCACTCCCCCGACGGAAGCCCCTGCTCTGCGGAGGATATCGACAAAGGTGTTCTTTCTATTTTCAACAAACACAACTTGGTTAAGACAAAAAAATAAAAAAAAGGCTCTGCTTTCATTTATTGCATAGCACAAATGTCAGGGGTGTTACATCATGCACTAATGCGTGACAGCAGTGTTTCCCAGTCCTGGTGCAATAGCGGGACATCTCCGTAGGCCCTGCAGAAGGTGGATAAAGACCCATCATTTGGAGCAGGAAAACTAGAGGAGACATGCAGCACAGTCGTCTTTTACAGCGCATGTTCGCATTCTTTTACCGGCTTCTCTGTCATAAAAGCAGTTGTTACAGTTGAGACGTTAACACATCAGTAGGGATTATCTGCACCTCAGGTGTGGTGAAAAGCCTTCAGAGTGAGCACAAACTGCACCAGCTGTCAGCTGGGCCAAAGCCGCCCCTCTGCTGTTGGTTTGTGGGGAAAACGTCCTGCAGAACAACCTGCAGAGCTTCAGCCTTTAGTTGCTTATTAAAGTGTATAAACTACATTTATCATCCTGTTTCTGGAAAGAAAATAAAGATAAAAAGATAAAGATTTTTTCATTAAAGTTGATTCAAACATTTACTTTGCAAATTTTAGTCTGTGCTTGTGTTTTTTATAAAGTCGTTTTACAATTTTTTTTCGAATGAGGCAGAGTTTGTTTTTTATGGCTGTAAAATGTAAAAAAAGTACAACTTTATTCACCTAAATGCTTTGTTCTTTACTGTATTCCCAGAGAGTGTGTGCAGCTCCCCTCTCCCCAAGTTCGCCACTTCTCCCAAACCCAACAACAGCTATATGTTCAAACGGGAACCTCCAGAGGGATGCGAGAGGGTCAAAGTGTTTGACGAGTTGGTGTAAGTAATTTTGTCCTCTGTTGTACACGCAGCAAATTCTTGATCGATGCGTTTCTCCCAAATGACGAGTGACAGTGGTAAAAGGCTCTGGCCCCGTACGGTCATTTTAATGTTAAAAAACTTCAAAAGCAAACTGAACGTTTAGTTTAGCAAAAAAAGCATTTATCTTTCTCATCATGAGTTTGTAGAACAGGCTCAGAAATGAGTTTGTGCTCTGTCAAAAATAGGATCGGGTGGGTTTTTGTGTCTTAACGGATCAGAATGAATTCAGTGCATGTTGTGATGGAACTAAGAGTTTGTCAGTTTGTATATGCGCTCCACACTGAGTTACCAAATCCTGCTGAGGGCAGTAAAGCTCACTGGAAAGAGGCCATCTATTGCCTCACTCACAAAACAGACACTAAAGTTGAAAACTTTGACACTTTGAGGAGATAAAACGATTGCAAAATGGCTTTCCCGCCTTTACAGATGAACTTAAACAGAGGACAGAAAGCAGCATTTCTGAGTGTGTCTCCCCGTTGTCTCCAGGTCTGGCAAATCAAAAGGCTTTCCCCTCTTCTCGTGCCCGGACAAGAACAAGGTGAACTTCATCCCCAGGGGCTCAGCCTTCTGCCCCGTCAAGCTGCTCTGCTCCTCTCTGTTCTCCCCCATCGCCTCCTGCTCCTCCGTCAGCTCTGCTCTCCACAGCAGCAGCGGCCTGGGAGCCCAGGCCAGCCCCCCTCTGCCCACCGCCGCCTTATCAGCCCCCACAGACACCAGCGGAGACTCAAACAAAAGCACAGACGGCCAAACCTCTGACTCAGATGGCTCAGCGCAAGTACTCCTCACCAGCTAGTCCTCAGGTATTTATGACCGACCACCTACAAAAAAGAAAAAAGAAAAGCAACTAGTCAGGTGGTGCGGTTTTAGAGTTTAAAGGACAAAAAAAAAAAAGATGAAATAAATAGAAATATTGCACTCCAGTAATCCTAATCTTAGCCAGCAGGGAGTGCCCAAGGTCTGGAAATGAAGTGCCTCAGAGGACAATGGTACCCACATCCCAGTGTTAGTCCCTGTGCCAGCGAGCCCTGGTCTTCCCTGGATAACACTTGATTGTTTGGGCATTGTTGCTGACCTTGGGCACAGCCTCTTGTCACCCGTCACTAACCCCCCCCCCCCCCCCATCCCAGCTTCGTTTCTCACCACAAATAGAACTGACTGCTCAAATAATCGCGCCTACCGCTGGAAGTTCAGCCAAGAGGAAGTTTAAAAGGAAAAATCAGGCCTTGGACATGGGTAACGATGTTAAGTGGTCATCTCGTTAGCCGTGCGTGCATGCGCTCTTACGGTCAGAAAACAGAGGGGAACGTGCCTCTTTTTTTAATCTTTGTTTGGACGTGTGGCCCGTTGTTTCTGAGGACCCTGCGGATGTGTGAGCGCAGGCTGCACACAACAAGCTTCCAGAGCAAACCTGCACGCCTAGATTTGATCACCAGTGTAGCTTAGCTAAAGGCGAACATGATATATTTGTGTATTCCAGTCACAAAGCACACAGCTCGCTTGTTTCTCAGTTTGATAACTTCACATAAGAGAACTCAGGTCATTTGGAGTGTACCAGCTCGGACTGGGATGCCTTTCCCCGGTGTTCACACACTCCCGCAGAGAAACGTTCCTGTTTATTTTTCCCTCGAGAGAAGTCATTCCAAGTTATTCTTGGGTTGAGTTTCAGGTGTTGTGACACATTCCAGAGAGTGGAGCTATCTTTACAAGCTACTCCTCCACATGACTGAGAGGTTTAGACTAAAGTCGTTTCACCCCTTTGTGCGATACGTACCAAAGCTTTGAACAATTGGACTGTCATTTATTTGGGTTGAGAGGTTTTTTTCTTTCTGTGTATTTTGTTTTAAACGATTCATCAGCATTGAAACACAAACGGTGTGTTAAAACACCTTCATCAAAGCCAGGTGTAAGCACTTACTTTGAATGGGAAAGATAATCGCTATTTTTGATAATTTTTTCAGCCAAATATCAATCACGAAAATGTGCAATTAGCATTCGTCCCACTACTCAAAACAAAACCGTGTACGCAGTGCAAAGCTGCACACAGATTTAGCTACACGATCATCCAAGAAGAGGAGACCTAAATCAAAAGTTGAGCGATTAGCCACGAGTCATTTTTCACTTTGGGAAATTCCTGTTTTAGCCGGGTTAAAAAATCTGAAACCGTATTTAACATCAGGCAGCGTGGCATAAATCTGTGAGATTAAAGCTTCACTTAAAGCACACGGCTGACGCAGAGGAAGCATTAAGTCGCCCGCCAGAAAGAACGCCACCGGCCGGATTTAGTCGTAAATTATCATGAAATCTGTTTAGATTTCAGGCTGTGGACGCTTCAGTGCCGGAGCCGCCAACGTAGCCCATGATGCAGAACAGTGTTTCTCCCATTTAAGGCCGATTTTGATCAAGGATCCATCCGTTAATCCAAGCCGGATTCAAGCTTGGCCTCGTATGTTAGAACTGTTAAAAGTTGAACTTGTGCAGTTTGACTTAAAGGGTATCAATATGTTAAATGACCACTTTACAAAACTAACAGCTTTCCAGTTACATTCCTCTCAGTTTCAGTTTGATCCTTATATTCCTGATACGTTTCCGTTCATGTAAAAGCTTCAGGCGACTCGTTTTTACACATGACTTGTTGTGATGCTGTATGAGGAAGTGCCGATTTTGAGGAGGAAATTCAGACTCATTTACTCTCGGAACCACTTTTCGGAGGGCCTGGCTGTGGAGAACCGAGCCGGCCGACCTCTTCTTCCAAAGCAAAACACGAAAACCAAAACTAAACTGACCGATTTCAACCCGTTCCCCGGCTTAAGACTTAACAAAGAAATACTTGAACTGTTTTGCAGTTGCGACAGAAACGCAAACAACAGCATGCGCACACATTCCACACACCGACTTTAAATGCTGTGTTCAGCTTGCAGCGCCCAGAGTTTGAGTGTGAGTTTATCCACGAGCACACCGAGCTGTTCAGACATGGTTGCCATGGCAGGCGGCGCCGACTCGAGTGTCCTGTGTGTTCCACGTTTGTATGTAGATCTTGTGTGATCTCTTTTTAAATAAAGAAAAACAGAAAACCCTGCTTCTGGATTGATATGTAATCTGTTTCTTAAAGGGAAAAGACACAAACATAGACAAACAATGGCTTCGTACAGGCGGAGCTAAAGGTAAGGCAATCACTGCATTTGGTTTTTACTGATTATTGACAAACTGTCACATGGCTTAAAATACGAAAAGCACTTGGACTCAGTTGTTCCCTTTTTAAGGTATCCAATATTAATCTTCTGTGACTAGGTTAAGGCCTTTTTCCAGTATATTTTCAATTTTGCAGCATTTTAACAGAATGGTTACAAGATGACATTTTCTTTCACATCAAATTTCTCTTCTATTGAAAAACCCTGCTGTAAAACGGCATACAATGCTCACAGGAGCTAAAAACAAGAAAAATCATATTTAAAATCCTCACTTCAACACGTTGACCCACTTTTACTGGATAACGTAAAAACAAAACATGCAACATGCAGAAAGAGTGACGCGTGTTCCAAAAGAGGATCCCAAACACAGACTGGATAAAGGAAAGCCTCCACTGCCCAACCAAGGAAATGGAAATGCGAAGTTCACCCTTTTAAATACGGCAGGAAGTCAGTGATTTAACTTTGGAGCTGACGGATGACGAGCAAACCTGCTGCAGCACCCCCTGCCTGCAGTGGAAGTCCTGCTAAAGCCCAACACACCAGCTGGTTAGTGTGCTCTTCCCACTGTTAACTGCCCACTCTGTAATCTCTCCTAATAATGCGCAGATGCTACAGAGTCTACTGGTTTCCGAGGCAGTCGATGTCGAAAGGCGCGTTATTCCGAACTCAAACTGAGGTATCCATGCTTGATAAAATGTTCCCTCTCCAGATTCCTCCTCCCTGTGGGACATTTGCAGCGTAATCCTGCCACCGTGGGACGAAATCTGCCGTCGGGTTGTGCTCGTCGTCTGTATTTCCCCAATCAGATCTGCTTTTTTTATTTATTTTTTGCCGCTTCCGCTCACAGACGAGGCAGATCCTCTCCCCCCCGGTGGCAGAGTTACGCTGCCCCACGCCGAGGAGGAAGGAGCTACGCCGAGTGGAGGTGGTGCTCGGCGTCCGGTTTCCCGACGGCGTCCGGGTTGGAGAGGGGGTCCAGGTCGGCGAAGAGGCTGAACCAGGCCGAGAGGTCTTTGGACTTCCCCCCAGTCTCTGTAAGAGCAGGTTAAAGGAGAGGCGGTGTCACAGCCAATCTGACCAGGAAACGCGGCTCTGGAGTCGGGCTCTTACCTTTCACCGCCTGCTTTGAAGCGTTCTGATTGGCTCCCGGGGTGTGCGCCGTTGCCGGGGCGACGAGCTGCGAGGCGGCCCCGGCCCAATCTAAGGCAGAGAGCAGGTTTGGATCAAATCTCAGGCCTAAAATCACCCCATCACACTCACCATGTCACTTTCAGGACGCTTCCTCCGTTATGGAGGATATTTCTGTTTACATTTCTGCACATTTGTGCCTTATTTGGAGATTTATTTGACATTTTTTGGGGCCGGTCTGCTGGCTAAGGACGAGCAGCGGGTGGAAAATCAGCCTCTTTATCTGGTTTTTCCTACTTCTGCAGAGCAGAAATGCAGTGGCGTTGGTTTCATCAGCTGGTGGCTTTTCTCTTAAACACCATTTTTCTCTTCCGTTCCTCCTCCTCTTCCTCCTCCTCTACCGTCGGCTGCAGACCGATTACAGCCCGAATTTGCTCCGTTTCTGTTAATCTATGAGGTCATTATGCATGTTTTCCTTCTCCGGAGCTGCGGCTCGCTTTGGATTTAATTCTGTTGACAGCCTCTGGGCTCTGCGCTCCGCAGACGATTCTGAATCTGTCATGCGCAATAGATGTGCAGGCCCCCTAAAGCAACTCAAATTTGTTTTGACTATTTTATTTAAAAAAGGAGCAGATAAGAGTCCGGTGTGCATTTTAAAGCAGCCGAGCTACAGGAACCTCCTTCCTATATATAAACTGAGCTGGATTTGGGAAAACCATCAGCAACAAATGGTGGAAAGCAGCTTCTTTTCTCATTGTATTAAAAACAATTGACCTTTTGAAAAAAATCTAAATTAGGATTGGCAAATGATGGATTTTTGTAAATACATTTCCCTAAATATGTCCCTAAATAGATATAATATAGTTATCGAGTAAATGTATTTTAAATAGACACGATGTCACCATGAAAAGTTGAAGAACATTCTTTTGACATCATTTTTCAAGTGGTTCCTATTACCCGGTTTCCTGGCTCTTTAAATGTCTATAAATCTATATAGGCGGGAAAGGATTTTTTGTAGTTTTTTTTTTTGTTTTATTTTTTTTGCTTCATCTCTATTTCTTAAGGGAATGAGCACACAGTCGGTCGGCTCGGCTCTAATAAGGCTGATGAATCCGTATTTTCTGACCTGAGACGAAAGGCTTGTTCAAACTCTGGTCCAACAGCTGTGACGGCAGAAAGTAGGAGTTCTCCCTCGGCTGGCCCTCCGCCGATCCAGAGGGGGCCGGGCCCGGTCCCTCCTCGACCTCTCCAAACACTTCGGTCCACTCCCGAGAGAGGTCGCCCTCGTCCACAGACAAAACGCCCAGGATCTCGTTGAGAAACGCCGCGCTGTCCTTTACTTCGTCGTCTGGATAAAAAAATGAAAACAAAACGGAAGTCCCGTTCTTTTGAGGCTGCTCTCATTCACTGATCGCTCTGCTTTGTAAATGGTTAAAAGCAGTCAGGTCTTATTTTTTAGATTGTTTTCTAAGAAAACTCATTAAAAGCCAAAGTCTGTTTTGTTTCTGCTCACACTGTGCCGGCTGCTTTTTACCTTCTCTGCTTTTGTCCATGACGTCTTCCCCTCCCAGCGATACGAGTCTGCGAACACGAAACGAGTCATGAGTTCACGGCACAAATTCCCACACCGGACTCTGCTGGTTGGACAGGAAAACGCGACGCCGGCACTCACTGCTCGTCGGGGCTCTCGGCGCTCTTCGCCTCCTCCGTCTCGGCTTTCGCCTTCTTCTTCTTCCTTTTCGGCGGCACGGTTTGTAGGGTCTGCGAAGGGAAGCCAAACAGTTGCTCACACTGTATCAGAATTGGCATCTGTCCACATCTGGACGCCCTCTGACCTTTAGCGAGGAGGCCTCGTGATGCTGACAGCCCTTGAAGCTCTCGTGAATGGCGGCCATAGTGTGGGACGTCTTCTCCCAGAAGTGCAACAGGGTTGTCTGAGACACAGAAAACAGTCCAGGTAAGAACCTCCCCACACTGCTGCGCTGTGGAGAAACGTCCGGTAGGTACCTGGTAGGTGGTCAGGACGTGAGAGAGCAGGTTGCAGCGACTGGCCCCCAGCAGGTCCACCTTCTGGCACACGTCGGTCTTCAGCTTGTCGAAGCTGGTTTTGGTGGCGCGCACCTGGGCCTGAACCTGAGACGGGGAAAATCGGACAGGACAAACGTCAGGGTCCTGGGAAAGGGTCAGCCGGGGGGAGGGAAGTGGCCGGGGCTCTTTGTGGGTGTGATCTGCCCTCCAGTGGCAGCTCTGGTCACTGTTCTTCATTTGTTTTTGTAACTAAAGTCTTCATGAATCACCTTTTTATTACCGTGTTTCCTAAATGTTTGTCATTTAGGTTATTCAATTAAATAAAAAAGTGAAGAATTAAGGTATTTAGAAAAAGCCGTGGCCCTACTCTGAATAAGAAAATAGTCCTGCCTTCCCTTTGCTGGCAAATGGGTTCCAATGGTAGACAAAACCCCTTGTTATTGCTTTAATGTTCTCATGTTATAACCTTTACGAAAACTGGTGTCTGGCATTCGTGCGTCAGGTCGTGCCGGGTGGGGTTGGGGGGGGGCAGACCTTTCGGAATTTCTCCATCTGCTTCTGCGTGTCCGGGTCCAGCTCCTGGGACACGTCCTTCATCCACAGCAGGGCGCCGCGGTACTCGGTCCTGGACTGCTCCATGCGGTTCACCGTCAGCCACGTGTCGGAGATGGCCCGGTACCGGAACGTCTCCACCTCCTGGTGGAGACGGCCCAGGGGGCTCCTCAGAGCCAGCCTGCGGGGGTAAAGGGGGGGAACGGAGGGGGGCGAAAGGTCTCGTAACCCATCGTGGCTCTCTTCAGAATTCATCCCGCTAATCCGAGCTCTGGGTAGTAGGGCCTACCTCTGCTGGGAGGAGAAGCAGAGCGCCTTCCCCGTGGCCTGCATGATCTTCCCGGCCCTGGTTTTGTCCTGAGAGCCCTGGGAGCGCAGGAAGCGGCCCAGCTCGTTCTCCTCCTGGGAAAGCACTGCGCATTCCACACGGGGAAACTTTTTTCAGTAGACATTAATCCCGCACATGTATGGATACAGGAAAAAAAACTCCTCACTATGTCTTCAAATGTGCTAAATGGATCGTTGTAGATAATAACAACACCTAACTAACTCGACCGTGTTGGGGCTTGATTAAAAACATCTTGGTAACCAGGTCCTTCTGTTAAAATGAAGTTCTTCAACTGGTTTTTAGCAACACCAGTTTGCTCCTCTGGAGCATTCAAGTGTCTGTTAACAGAGCGTTAAGGAGGAAAAACATCAGAGAAAAAAAACTGAGTAGCAACTATCATGTTTTTGTCAAACAGAGTCTCGTCTACCGTCACTTTGCCTTCAGAGTAGTCACACAGAGAGCATGGTAATGGTGATAAACCAGGTATTGTGTGAGGACTCACAGCAGATCCTCCTCTGGTACTGCTCGATGACCTTTAGGAGCTCCATGCAGGTCCTCTGGACGGAGTGAAAGACCTGCAGAGCAGAGGACAGCTGACATTAACTCCCGGTCAGTGAGGCTTTTATTTAAAGATCTGAGCTCAGACGTCCACTTTGATCGCTAGATTGCTTGTTTCGGACGCACTAAAAAGATTTTGGGTGATAAAGGAAAGGGTAGGGGGTCCAGTAATATCTCCTCCTTACCTCCAGCTTGCCGTCCAGCTCGGCGTCCGACGCCACCACGTGCTCGTCCTCCTTCTTCCCGGTGACTTTGATAAGCGTCTGTTTGGTTTTCCAATATCTCCGCTGGAACTTGTTGACCACCTCGGAGTCCTGGCTCTGGATGAAGCGGTCCAGGTAGTCCCGGGAGTAGCCGCTGCAACGACAGGAGCAGAGCGGTGAGCAGTGAGTCCCCAGAGCCCTCACTGATATTTACTGTCCGACACAGAGGTACACTCACAAATGTCCTCCCTCCATTTTGCAAGATGACCTGTGAAGAAAGAAACATATGATTAAAAACACTCAACAAAAGGAAACGTTTTGGTCTAATCGGCTAATAATCACACCAATCGCACCATCAAATTTGTATTTAATGTACAGTATCCATTACCAGAAAGAAAAAAATAATTCTGCACAGTCTTAAATGAATGATGTCAAAGATTTGGGTGACTGGAAGTGACTAGAAAAGTCACTGGATGGACACACAGGGTTAATTAGTGACCGGTGAGGGTGTCACTATTGAGTATAAAAGTAGCATCTAAAAAAAATGGCGACAATTCCTTTTTTTCCCCCTTCTCTTTTAACATTCAGACTCCATAACGCTCAGAGTAGGGCGTGCAAAGGCCAGAAACGATTACACCGCCACAATCTGTACAGCAACAAGGGCTCAGGAGGCCTAAAAAAAAAAGTTTAACCAAATTTGACATAAAACTATGTAACACAAGTCATCCATAAGTGAGGCTTACTATTGTTTTTGAACATGATGCTCCAAAAGCACAATGAACTGGTCAGTGAAGACATAAAAAATATTTTTAGTTCAAATGTCACAAATTAAAGCAAGTTCTCATATCTATAATTTAAGATTTTTCACCAGACAAAGTTTCCAACTTCTCTGCAAATGTTTATTTTCTTCAATTCTGTAAGAAATTTAGTCCAATAGCTCATAATCCACACAATCGTGTGATCTAGCTTCAGCCTCCGGTCATTAGCCGGATCCATTTGAGGGGCTTTTTCTGACATTTATCTGCTCGGAATCTCTCCCATCCCCTCGTTTTTTTCGCAGGAGCGAATCACCTGCGTCGTGATATGAGGAAATAATAATCACAGCTCGCGCGTCACGACTCGCGCGGATGCGATGCAACCCACAACCCC